CCAGAACCTCAGAACAGAGTTAATTAATTAAGATGGGGGAAATAGTTGGACAACTCTCAATCTATATAAGAGTATGCATTTGTGTTCGTTAGTTAAGAATGACCCAAGAAAACCCATTCTTTCTTAGAGTACTATGTTCAAGAAATGGAAACTTAAAATGGCAGTGAAATGTCAAAATAAATCCAAAACTTCTTAGACTAAAAAGAGTAGACATGGAAACCCATTCTCAAAGCACAAAAGCTCATTTGTCTTAGAGGATAATTCTCTTTCTTCTCCATCTTCTTTCACAGAGGATACTTGAGGAATGAGCCAAAACAAAATGAGGAAGAATTTCTCCCCTATGTCAGCTAGAAATCTTCTTGGTATTTTCTCAGAAGGATAAAAACTAAGTGCCCATCACGCATAAAGGGATAGGTGATTGCTGAAGATGGAGAGAGTCAGGGATTCAAGGATAACAAAATGAAAGAATGTTACAACTTTCCATAGCCAATGCAGCAGTAATATCTAGACACTAACTTTCTATCATTTGGATTATATAGAACAGCTATATTTAAAGTTCACCAAATTGTTTTCACCTCAAACTGATCTTTGGTCTAGGTCTACGCTCTTTCCGCAGTTCCGCTTATCTTTACCCAATCTGCTCCATTCTTTCAGTAGCTATTTCTCTTTGAAGTTTCCTGAATAGTGAGAAGGCTCTGCATTTATCAGCTAACTCAGAAAGGTAAGCATTTAGTGAGAGACAATGGAACCATCTTTAGTCCTATAAGAGTAAGAGGCAATACGTGACGTTACAAAGCAGATAGAAAGCAGCGCCCCTTCTCTAATACTTGGTTTAGTTTGCACAAACTTATTTTATAAGCAGGAGTTAGGGCCAATATATTTTTATTTCTTCCAAATCAAGTGAATGAGATCACCTATTTATGTCTTCTGGGGAAGGAAAATCAAGTCAATAGAGAAAAATCAAAAACAAAAACCATGGGCATTACAGAGAGCTAGCTGGCAAAATTTTGACTTCCAAATTGGAAGAGTTGTTTAATCTTAACAAGCTCCAGTTATCTAGAAGGTAGAGTAACAATAATTTGTAAGATTCTAAAATGTATTTATAAATATTTTCATCCATATATTTATATATGAGGGTTTTATACACATATACAAATATAAATGCAAAGCACAGTACTTGGCACAGACAAGCACTGGATAAACTGGGAATAATTTTCAATATAAAAATTTGTTTGTTGGAGCTGGAGAGATGGCTCAGTGGTTAAAAGCACTGAGTACTCTTACAGAGGACCCAGTTCCAATACCAGCACCTACATGGCAGCTAACCACTGTCCTAACTTCAGTTCCAAGGGATCCAATGCCTTCTTCTGACCTTCTTGGGCATTGCATGACACAGGACAACTTAATATACATGCAGGCAATACACCCATACACATAAAATAAAAATAAGTAAAATACAATTTAAAATTTCTCAAAGTCTTGCCCTCAGGTCCTGAACACTAAGACTCCCCATGTCATTTGGACCTCAGCACTTATCTCTGCACTGAAGGAGGAGACTGAGATGACCACCTCCTTCATTAGAACTCTCAGCTCATGTGGAATGCTTACCCAATGCTATTCCATTATATATTATTTTAGTAGTCACTACAAGAAACAACTATTATGTCTTAATTCTGTCAGCTTAGAAAAATATTTTGCAGAAAATATTCATATAATCAAAGATAAGTACATCGAACTGAGCACCAAGTTCCCTATATAAAGCACATCAAATGCTTTGTAATGGGCACTGTAAATTTTTCCAGAGAATTCTGTAATTCAAAAAAATAATGTCAACTAAGAAGAAAGTCAGCCAATAAATTAAGAGTTCACTTAGTTTCACATCAGGAAATGAACTCAGTATTTCTCAAAGAAGAAAAGATGCTAAGATACGGGAAATATAAAATGAGGCTTTCCTTGTGACTCATCCTTTATAAGCTTAAGGGAAAAAAACTGGAATATATTTAAAGAGATTATGTAGCTCAGTCTTTAAATATAAAAAAAAGAATATCAACATTTATCATGCTACATCTTCATGCTTCAAAGCTACCAGGAACATGATTCTGCTTTAGAAGAATAGTTCTTGAGACAGCAGTCACTGCTTTAAAAAATCTGAATCACATTTATACTTTTATCACTATATAATATTTTAAAAATCTGAAAATAATGGGCAGAAGTCACCCTAACAATAATTTCTTAAATTTAATCAACCCATGTGCTTGAATAAAATATACTTTAAAAATCTGATTTCTTAAAATGCACATGTTCATGATAGCATCTTTAAGTTTATATTTTAAATTTCAAAAACATGGCTCAATGCATTAAAATACACATAAATATGAAAACATCAGTATCTACAAGTAAATAAACTACATAACACCTAATGTTTATATTAATACTTCATTAGTTTTCATTGAAATAAATCACAATAATACCTAATATATAGTTGGTGGAGACACACATGCAATACTTTAAAATGTTTCCTAAAGCATTAATTTTACACACTTCTGAAAATTTTCATTGCCTTTCTGAACAGTCCAAATAACACTTACAGGAAAATAAAATCAATATACAGTACTTAACTGTCGAGTCACTTAGCAGAAAGATTTCTATGCATCTATGAAGTTGACTTTAAATCCTAATGATCTGCTTTATTATTTTACTTTTTAATTTTGTAAAACTATAAATTTAGGGAATCACAACATGAGGTTTTGATATAAATGTACATAGAAATATGTGACAACCTACTTTTAAAGACTACTGTTAATGTTTACTTATCAAATATGATTAATTCAGCCAGTTGGCTCTTGGCAATACATCCAGTGAGGGAAAATTATCATAAGCCAATATGCCTTGATTACAACAGCCTGTACCTTTATTGTCTGCCAAGACTCCTTTCACATCAGGTCTATAATGAAAAGCTAAGCCACAAACAAACAGAAGTATTAGAAGTCACACAAAAGGACCACTATTCCCTAGCACAAGACAAATTTTCAATAACTGCTCAGGTAATTTAAGGTCTTTCATTATATAATCCTTTAACAAATAATTAAATTCTGTTTTCATTTGACAGTCCAGGAAGGATACCTTAAAATATGTAACCCATAAAATAAATTAAAAGTAAATTGAAACAGATGTATAAAGTCCTTGATTCATGAAGAAACCATGTGAAAGGTTTGACCCTACATTGTCAAATATTTGTGATTGTTTAACAATAGAGGTTGGTTCTGAAGAGAGTCAACACGTTCTAAATGGTGTGCTCTATTCTCTTTGAAACTCATTCATAAAACGCCTTTCTGTTATGCAATGGGATCTTTCTGCTTGGTTAATGAACACGGGCTTATGTTGAGCATTAACTGGTTGTACACAGAGAAAAGCATCACTCATCTTTACTTAAAAGAAAACTTAATGGAGCTTCATACTAAAGTAGCTTGTATTTCTGAAGGAAATAACCCCAAGAATGTCATCAAAATGGATAATCTGATAATACAACTGGATGCCCATCTCACACAGGTATGCTGGGGAAAAGTGGGGGAGGGTCCCGAAACTGAGCCAGCAAATTGCCCATAGACATGGATAAAGGATGGTATAGCCCCAGATAAGCCAAGCCTGAATGTATTTATTCTTTCCCGCTGATACTAGAACGCCAACTGAAGAAAGAGGATTTTGGAAACATTAGCATTGGCTTCCCTTTCTTAATGTGTCTTGAACCAAGCAGAATCAGCTCTATTCAACTCAGGTGGAAAGCTCTCGTCTAACTCCTGTGCCTGAAATTCTCCAGTTTACAGTGCTGTCACGAACCTAGAAAGCCAAGGAGAACATCAATGCCAAGGAGAGACCCAGAGATTGTCTATTTCTCTGACTTTGTTAGCTCGGGTTTTCATTTTCTATAGACACTCTCACTCTCCCTAAGGAGCCTGGAAAGATAATGAACACCTTATCTATCCTTCATCAAGACAACCCCAGTGACAGTCAGACAGTGGGTAGAAGGACTCCATTCTGTCCCCAGGACAGGACGAGTCACAGGGCCACCTCTCCGCGGGTGGCCGCCGAAGACCTCCCCTTACATTCGGCAGTTTGTGCCCCGTGCAAAGGGCATCTCTCTTAATTTCTCCCGAGGCTACTCTTTCTTTGTAAACCCACCTGCATGGGCGCCTCGTGTCTCATTGTAGGCAAATGTCCTTTCTCTCTGGGTAGGACAGCGCTGGCCGGGGCGCGTGGTCAAGCGTGCACAGCCCGCACGCTCCCCGCACACTCCGAGCTCCTGGGGTGACAAACCCGCTCCAACATCAGCACCGGAGCTGTCCGCTCCTGACGCCGCAGAAGCGTACTGGCCAGGAGCCCCGCGCACTTCTGGGAGTTGTAGTTTAACCCTGGGAGGCATCTGTGCTAAAGGACGAGCCATGAACTACAACTCCCGGAGCGCTAGTGGGCCTTACTCAGGCTGGCTCCAGTAGCACCCCGCGGCGGAGCCTCCCTTCCTTGCTTGGTCGGTTACGGTCCTCAGCCTTTCCAATCCATTTCGTCGCAGGACACCGGCGAAGGGGACCTCAGATCAACCCAACAGAAAGATTTTCTCTGCTCAGTGTCGTTTATGGAAGCCAGACTGTGATTCTCTGGTCAGGGAACGCACTGCTTTGTTTTAATTTCTAATGCAAACGAACATTTTCGGGACTGCGCTTTACCTCTCTATCGTGAATGGGAAAGTTTATACTTATCTATAGTGGAGTAGTTTTACGGATTTATTCAACAACCACGCGGGAAAACGAAGATCTTATGGCACATGTATAAGATAAGCAGTCCATCCGCATAATTGCATTGACAGAATCTTTTCTCATTCATATTTCTCTCTCTCTCTCTCTCTCTCTCTCTCTCTCTCTCTCTCTCTTTCTCTCTCTCTCCCTCTCTCTTCCATAAAAGCCAGATTCTTGGCTGAGCACACCGAGAACCTTCTTTCTGCTTACCTTTCCGTACAGTTCCATTGCAGCTCGAGATTCGGATAGTCTCAAGTAAATCTCACTACAAAGGAGATGAAGGTCTCGCAGGAAGCACAGCTAAACTGAAAAGACACAGCACAATGGAAAGGGTAGGAGGGGCGCCTCAGAGAGAGAGAGAGAGAGAGAGAGAGAGAGAGAGAGAGAGAGAGAGAGCGAGAGAGAGAGAGAACTAGCGGGGGGGGGGGGGGGTAATAGCGAGGACAATCTGTTGGGATGGGTGGCTTCGGCTTCCTTCTTCTTGAGGGGAGGCAGTCTTCAAGTGACAGCTGCCGAAGGGCTGCTAGTCTCCCAGGAAGTGGCAGGGGCGCCCGCATTGGGCAGCCCCTCCCTGAACCCTCCCCCAGGCCCCTTCCATCGTCATTAGTGCTCACACACCGCCTGCAGCTGCAGAGCTGATAGGGCACAGGGTTATTTACCCAAAGCAAGTCACACAAAATGAACACATTTATCACCAAAGCCCAGGAGCAGAGTCGCAGAATGAGATGGGAAACCTCTATTAAGTTACCGTGTTCTTTCTTTAACGTTTAGCAGTTCCTTTATATCGCAATCCCACTCCTCCTAGACTAGTTCATAACACGGTTTTTAAGTCTCGGATCTGCACTTTGGTTAGACTTCTGCTCTCTCGACAACTGTCTAATATAGATAACTACTTTTGTCCTTCGTCGCTGAGACAGCCCTCTCTCTCCCCTTCAGAGCTGAATCTACTCAGCCAGTCATCATCCCTGCCCTGCAATGGCATCAAATTTTATTTCACTGGAGGCAAAGTACAAAAAGAGCTCTCCTGATACGTGGAACCATGCAACGGATAATCTGAATCAGCTTTGAACTTCATCTCATTAGACAAAGCAGTAGAAAGACGGTCCTGAAACTTAAATATACTTGAAAAATCACTTGGGAAGGAGGGCTAGGATTTGTATCGCAAGTCACTCGCAGGGAGTCTGACTAGGGGTCTGGAAATCACCAGTTTGAGTCCATTTCCCCACAGCTCTTATGCAAGTAATCCCTTTGCCATAATTCAATAAATACTGTTTTGAAAGAATTTATATGTAAGGCTTTTTCAAAGACACAAACTTGAAAAAGTACCTGTAAGAACTTGGTGTATGTAACAATGTATTTGGAACCTGACACATTAAAAATGCAGGATTCTTTGTTTTTCTCCTAGCAATTTAAGATAACATGTCTTCCAATCTGCAATTAATGGGAATGCAATACAAAATCATATAGGTAGAGATTTTCATAAGGACTCAGAAAATACATTTTAAAACACTCACCTCTTAGCTGACAGTTATGTGGTTACTATAGAAAATTATTTTAAAGTTAATAATAGGCCCTGTGGTGAGATGGATCAATGAGTAAAGGTACTTACTACCAAGACTATAAAGGACCTAAATTCAATCCCTGGAACCCACATAGTGGAAGGACAGAACTGACTCCCATAAGTTGTCCTCTGAACTCCACATGTACACCATGGCAAGGTCTCCCCCAACATACATACATACATACATACATACATACATACACACACACACATGCCCGCAAGCACATACATACACGCAATAATTTTTGAAGTTAATAAATGACAATAATCAATATGATAATGTTTCATGATAGCAACTTTCTACAGGTAATGCTTCTGCAAAACTTTTATTAAGACATAATCTAAATGTGTGTATCTCCTTTTTGCACTTGTTTAGTTTGTGTGTGTGGGACACTCACACCAAGGTGTACATGTAAAGGGCATAGAACTCTGTAGCAGCCAGTTCTCTCCTATTATCCAAGTTCCAGGGATTGAAGTCAGGCTATCAGGCTTAGAAGCAAGCACCCTTACCTGTGAACCTCCTCCTCAACACAAGTGCATCTCTCTCTCTCTTTCTCTCTCTCTCTTTCTCTCTTTATTTTAAATGTATGTGTGTCATATAAGTATATGGTTGTAACTGAGAAAGCCAGAAGAGAGTTCCAGGTTCACTGTGGTTGGGGTTACAGAGGTTGTGAGCTACTGATGTGGGTGCTTGGGAACTGAATTCAGGTCCTCTGGGAAAGCATAAAGTTCTCTTAACTGTGGAGCCATTTCTCAAGCCCATGTACATCTCTTCTTGAGATCTTTTTCAAAAGAAATATTAATAATATAGTACTGACACTTAAATATATAGAACTGTCATTAAATATTTGCACAAATGTTTAAACTCTGACATTTCCAGAACAATTTCCTGTAATTATTGTCATTATCAAAATTCTTAGAATTCAGAAAGTAATATTAATTTTTTAGGTATTATAAATATTCAGCTTACAAATTCACTGTTCTTTGAGAAATGCATTCACAACATTTTGCTAAAATAATATACATCATTGATTTTTACTAGCATTTCTTTTATTTTGTGCAATAGCCCATGAAAATTGAATATAAGACGCTAGAGTTACAAAATGTCTTTGGGAACTTGATTCTAGCAGGAATCTGTTAAATGAGCAAAAGTGACCTACAGCTGATCATCTCTCTAAGCACTTTACTTTTGCTTGAAATTATGATGCCCTACTACTGAAGACAGGAAATACTTCGGACACAGGACTTAGAGCAATGGAGCAGGAACTGACCTGGAAGCCCTCTATCTGAAGTTTAGCTTCCATGGTTTTAGAGGATACTATGCAGGCTGCTAGGGGAGAAAATCAATCAATGATGCAATCCAGCCCTAAAGCCTAATAATCATAACTACTGGCACAGCAAACTACCTCTACTGATGCAGTAGTGGCACTATTTTCTGGGGTGTAATCAACAGCTATCTAATTGGACTTAAAGTCCTCTCAATGGGAGGGAACTCATGGGTGGCACTGTGAATGCAGCCAAATATACATGACTGGAGAGGTCATAGATCCTAGAGAAAGCCCTGTCTCTGTCATATCTCTAGAAAAATGAAATTTCTTATAATATGCTGAATATGGATTCATACATTTACAGAGAAGTGTACCATGGACCACTCATCAAAGAAGCTTCTTTTTGCAATGGATGGAGGCTTCTGCAGACTCTCCTAACTGGCCAGACACAGGGAATACACATCTGAGAGATACTCACTCACTCCTAGGTGACATATCTACAGTTGAACCTCTACATCTAAGGCTCATGGAACATAGTGGAACAAGGAGTAGAGAGAAAACTAGTACATCCCTTAACTCTCACCAGTGAAGCTTCCTTATGCAACAGATGCACACAGAAGGCCACAACTGGCCAAGTTTTAAAGAATAAGAGATTCCAGAGTGTATGTCCCTGAATAGGGCTCCTGTATTAAACCTCACCTACCCATGGCTCAGGGACCATTGCAGAAGAGGAAGTGGAAAGATGGTAAGAGCCAGGGTTGGTTCATGAACATAGGGAAGCAGAGTCTTTCAGACGACTGGAAGCTTGCACATGTGAACTTGCAGCAAGGTGACATCGAGCACAGGGCCTATGCCAGTTCAGTCAGACAAAGGCCCAGAGTGGAGTGAGGGAAATGGGCGGCAGGCTGGCCCTAGTCTGGGAATTACTGGAGACTGATTACTACTGGGTGAGGGAGAGTAGGCCTTCCTTATAATCTTGAGGTAGACTGACTAGATTCCAGGGTATGAATTTGTACCAAAGGACATCTGGGTATAAATGCTTGACTGAATAGGAATTAGCATGTATGGAGGAATACATGAAGTTTGGTGGGGGAGTCGGTGGGGGGATGGATGGGGGAGGAGGTCTAAATTTGATTAAGAACTAAATGTACAATAGCTCAATAAATAAGTTTTTAAAATCCTGATGCCATCTCTCAGTCTTATGCCAAGGGGTACTAAATGCCTACTGGAGCTCCAGATCTTAATGTGCACAACCTAGTCAAGAAAAGAAGAAAACAGTAAGCAGACTAACCCAACCCCTTTGTGTACAGTCTCCTCTGCTTGTATTCTGGTGCTTATACTTTCAATCTCATGACCACACCTGCTGCAAGGAAAGGTGAAAAATCTGTTTTTCTAGGCATAGATGTGCCCTGCTGAAAATCAGGAACTCTGTTACACAGGAAAAAAGGGAAGAGCAGACATTGCTGGAGCAGTAGTGGTCTCTCTTTAGGCATCAGGGAGACTATAATTGTTTCCTTCCTGTGCAACTGTATCAAAATATAAATGTTTAATTTCAAATGTACACATTCCCAGGGATCTTTGTAATATAACAGCCTCCAAAGCCTAACAACCAAGCAATCACCCAAATGTTGGAATACTGTCGTTCTTTTTTTTTTAATTTTTGAAAAAATTGTATTTATTATTTTTATTTTATGTGTACGCACATATTGCCTGCATGTAAGTAAGTGCACTAGTGTCTTGCAATGCCTGCGGAGGTCAGAAAAGGCTGTCGGATCCCCTGGAACTGGAGTTACAGACAGTTGTTAGCTGCCATGTGGGTGCTGGGATTTGAACCCAGGTCTTCTGCAAGAACAACCAGTGTTCTTAACCGCTGAGCCATCTCTCCAGCCCTGAAACATTTTCATTCTTGTTGAGGAAAAGAAGAAGCCTTATCTACTTATATTTGAGCCTGAGGTTAGGATCTGATATTAAAGTGTGTTAAAAGACTGACTATACGTGCAAGAAGGGAGGGACCACCAGAGAATACTACAGCATATGTGAATGAGCATCTCACCAAGTTAGAGTATGGAGAGGCCCAAATGTTCTAAATGTGAGCATCTGAAAATGTTAGAGTGTGTGGAGGCTGAAAGTTCTCAGACCCAGAGAAGATAAATGACCTCCCAAGAATAACACAGAGAAGTAGATAGAATGAGAGTTCTTCAGTCCTTGCCTCTAGATTCATATTTTTCGCACTGTTCCACATGACTGCTCAGGTTCTGTGATTTTTCTACCTTAATAAGCATTAGTATTCACTTTATAGTTTGTATATATATATGTAATATATGTATTATTTGCTTTGTTATCAGTCCATATTTTTTCAGTAGCTCTATTGTTTAATTTTCTTGTTAGCTGGAAAAAAAAACAAGAGCAAGACTAATAATTGGTAATGATGATATTAGGTATATAAGGAATCACAAAACGTTTTATGACCATTATTGACATGATTTCTCTACGGGGATTTAAGCTGGAAACTAAAGTCACTGAGGCTTGGAATAAGG